ACACACACATGCACACACATTCACACACACACACACACACACATGCACACACATTGACACACACACACACACATGCACGCACGCACGCTCACACACAGGTGCACACGTAAACACACACACACGAATTGATCACCAAAATATTTTATCAAGTCTCATTCAGTTTTGAAAATCTTCTGACAGTTACTTTTTTGATTGTTTGATTTTCATACTTCGTGCTGATGAGTAAGGTATTTTCTTCTCAGAATTGTATCAAAATGGTACCAAATTTGATCATAAACAGGAAAAAGAAAGTCCTGTCGCAGGTGCTAAAGACAACCAGCATTCGAAGTATATGGACTTCCTTGACATTCTTCTGACTGCCAAAGATGAAGAAGGGAAAGGCTTGAGTGCGAAGGAGATCCGAGATGAAGTGGACACGTTTCTTTTTGAAGGTAAAAATACTTTATAGAAATAATATAGAAATTAGTGCTCTACTTTGAAACGGTTGCTGTTCGTATTGTTGAGTTGTTATGAGTGGTGAGTTAGCAAGACAATACTGCTGTCCAATGGCAGAGCAGTGTAACTACAAATTCATGATTTTGAGAAAAACGAGAAAGACTTGACACTTACAGCTGACTACGGATGAGTTGATGTGTCATTTAGGGAGTGAAAAACAGATCAACTCATCCAAAGTTCAACTTAACCATTGGGACCCCTAAAAAGAAAGAGGTGCTGAGACCCGAGAAAAAGATCAACTTAACTGAAGATCAACTCAAGCGAGTTCTACTCAAGAGAAGTTGACTGTATTTATTAAGATCAGTCACTTACATGGCTTGTCCTGTCATTGCAACATCTGATCTTCGACACTTAAATGACCTTATAGTCTTGCAAGTTCTGTAAACACCGTCAAAATAATGAAATCGAAGATATCAGCATTTTTTCGCCAGTGTGACAGCTTTTTTTTTTCTATTAAAAATTTTTTTGGGGCCCAACACCTTTTATGTCCATTGTAAAAAATATTTCTATGTAGATTTTACTGAAAAATGTTGATTAAACGCTCAACAACTACGTTTTTCATTTTCCAAGGATTCTCAAGCTTTGGAAATCAACAAACTTTGGTGACCATTTTCTCGCTTATTTTACTTCTAAAGCCAGGCGTCCCTGACCTCTTTCAATTGCAAACATCTCAACTTCTTTTTTAGATAGATGTGCTTTATTTTCATAGAAACATAGCCAAATGAACTGGCTTTAAGATAGCACCAATAACTCCAGATGTGCAGAAACTGACTAGCGCCTGATCCCACCATGTCGTAACACATTTGTTTGTATGAAAAGGAGTGAAGCAAGACTGGTATTACAGGTCACGACACCACAGCTAGCGCCATCTCCTGGGCCCTCTACTCCATCGCAGAACATGCAGCCGTACAGAGAAAGATACAGGAAGAGCTGGACGAAAGATTTAAGGGCCGAGACTGCAGTGATGTCTTGTGGTGGGTGTTGTTGTCTTATGTCAGTGTTAACCCTTGGAGTTCCAACCTCCCCCCCCCCCCCGCCCCTGCCTTCCTGGATTTCAAGCCTGTTATGGGCAAAATAACGATCATACCCTTCTTTTTTTACTCAGACTCTGAAAACGGACTTTTTGCTTTGAAATTCATGCTAAAATGGAAGGAACAAAGAACGGGAACTCCTGTAGATTTCAAACAAATGATATAAAAACTGAGCATTGTGAACAAAATGCGCTTTACTATGCCTTTCATTATTATTGTGAAGTTAGTGCTCAATCCCCAGTTCAATGATCTTTGAACTTAGGATCAAAAGGGTTGATACTGAAGTAGACACTAACTTTGTCTAGGATATGAAAATGTTACTTAAACAGGATTTGTAAATGTTAACAAGAGACCAATTGCAGGACCCTAAAAAAGTGTAAAAACAGTTTTAAAAATTCAATCTGACAGGGGTACAGGTTCAGCTTTTCTAATAAGCAGTGTCAGTCTTTTTCTTCTTCTTCTTCTCAATCGCGTCATACTTGAAGTCTGGTATCTGTCATAAATTGGGTCGTCCTGCTCAGTTCATCAAAGTCTAATTGTCGACAAACCGTGCAGTGAACTGTTGCGAATGCTACCAACTTGTGTTTCGCGCGCTCGTATGACCTTATGCAGTTGCGAGCACCGTAAAACCCTGTACTACTACTACAGTTCATCTGTCAGCCCATATAGTATCAGTGTCAGTATCTACCATTTTACCTCCAACACCAGGTGACCCCCTTTCCCTTCAATAACAATTGACTTCTATTCAAGATAAGTGAGTATTTTTTTTATCATGTAAAGCAAGACAAATAAACAAGTTTTAACTCTTTAAACCCCATCAGACACTGGGAGCATCCGGCGGTAAAAATCCTGTTCTCCATCAGACGCTAGGAGTGTCCGATACCAGTGACAACTGTTTCGTTTAATTTAGTGATAGTTTTTACTTGTTTTTCGGAACTTTTCTCGAAACAAGTTTTTAGTAGTGACTAAGCCTTGGTTTCAGCCATTTAGAAGTTGGGGGCAAGCTCTTGGGGTTATAATGAGACACAGTGCACCAGGTTTAGGTGACTGTAGAAAAAACTCCGGGAAACAGTGGAAAAAATTAAGGGTTTAAAGAGTTAAGGTGATACCAATAACTCCATATGGACCAAAACTGACAAGATTGTGTCGTGACTTTCATTTAATTCCAAGCTATCTTACAGTTTTGAATATTGATGCCCATTTGCTACCCTTCTAGCTTTAAGTTTAAGTTTTTAATGAAGGTTTGACTAAGGAATACAGTAAAGTAAACAAAGTTGTGACTTCATTTTTACCTATTGTATGGTTTATTTGCTGCCCACTGAAATGTGCCCCCCCCCCCTGCCATTAGTAAACTGTTTTTGAAAAGCAGTCTTATTTATATAATTTCCACTGATGCAAGTTTCTCCATGTTATGCTTGACAGGGAGGATCTATCTGAGCTACCTTACCTGACCAAAGTGATCAAGGAGAGCATGCGTCTGCACACACCAGTGCCGTTGATCCAGCGAAACCTGACCAAGGACACAGTGGTGGATAACGAGGTCATCCCAGAAGGCACCACCGTCAGTGTGGTCGTCTACAACTGTCACCACAACCCCTCGGTGTGGGAAGACTCTATGGTCAGTCACAGACTCTATTTGGGGGGGGGGCTCTTGTGGTGTAGAGGTTAAGGTGTTCGCCTCTCATTCAATAGGTCCCGGGTTTGAATCCGGATAGCGACGGAAATTTTTCCTGTCTAAAATATTCTCCTATCACATCCTTTCCTGCTCTCTAGCAATGTTCTGTCGTCTGCTTTTGTCTCCACTTTCTGCTCCCACCCCCTCACCTCTTTTGCCCCCTCCTCTGAGCTCCTGACTCTTTCTTTAGCCTTTCTACTGCTAATCCTTGGCTCCTTCTTACTGCTGTCTTTCAGTCGCTCCCCTGATCTTATGGTAAGAAAGATCTACTTTAGCCTTCTTGGACAAGGGGGAAAAATCTCAGAGATCTTGAGTGCAAGTTGTGCATGTTAAAGATCCCTTGGTGGTCCAAAATCGATAAGAGTAGGCTCCGACCACCATTCAGGCAAAATTAAAAATTTCATAACAACTGAAAATGTTTGTGTCCCGCGCGCTATGACCTTATGCAGTTGCGAGGGCCGTGAAATACTTGCCAGAAAAAAAGAAAAAGTCTTTGTTTCTTCTGGGCTTTTATTACATTATAAATCCTGTAATAACCTTAACCACACGACTATGTCATGATTATAATAATAATAATAATTGCATTTATATAGCGCATATCCATGCTCAAGATTAGGACACATAAATGTGAGACTTCATGGTTAAATCAGGCGCTCGTCAAAATAATGAAATTTAAAAAATGGGCATTTTTTTTTAGCAGATGTGAAATTTTTTTCTAATTTTCTTTTTTTGGTTCAGCATCTTTTATTTATGTCAATTTAAAAACACATTTTCTTGTGGATTTTACTGAAAAATGTTTTTGAAAACATTTTGTAAACACACACACACACACACACACACACACACACACACACACACACACACACACACACACACACACACTCACACACTCACACTTTCCTCCCACCCAAACCCCCTACCAATAAGTGTCTTCTGTACTTGTGATGCTCAAATTGACAGTTTAAAAAAGTGATGTCCTTGGCAATCATTTCAGAGCCCTCTCTGTGATTTTGATACTCTTCCACAGAAATTTGACCCAGAACGGTTCTCACCGGAGAATGTGCAAGGTCGAGATTCGTACGCCTTCATTCCATTTTCGGCTGGACCACGGTGAGTTAACTGTTATGTTAGGACTTACTTGAGTCTTGCAGTAGTTGATGTTGGTGGGGCCCCTCCTGCTGGTCGTCTGCTAGTTCTTGGTTAGCCGATGTTACTCATTTTGGCTTCAGTGACTGAGTGACACTTAGATTACCCGCGGCTTGCACGAAATCACATGAGGTGTCAGTCACGTGATATGTCCTTTAGGCCTACGTCACAATAACTATTATAAAGGTGAGTTCACGCTACATGTCCTATTCTAAAGGTGCGCTTACACCACATTCTGATGTAATCGTTTTTATAGAACATCATGTTACTGAATCTTGGGGGAGGGGGAGGGGGGGGAAGCAGGGTCATGATTTCCTTTCATGTTTGTTTGTTTGCATGCGTGTGGTTTTAATGTCCTTCCGAGTATGAATAGGTTATTTGGAAAGTAGAGGACTAAGCCAGAGTGTTTAGAACTGTTTGATGCCTGTGTTACTTCTTGTACAAATTATGAGGCAGAGACCATCGCCATTCAAGGAGCATTCCTTCTTGTTTGTGCTGTACCCGTTGTTTTATGGAAGAAAAATTCTGAAATTATGCAAACTGAGCCAAAAAATGTGAATTTATGCAATTCTGTTAATTTTAACAAAGAATCATAAAGGAAAATAATCAGAAATTATGCAAAAAATGATCAAATTTTGCTAAATTATGCGGGGTGCCTAAAACCACAGGGACAGTTTGTGAGTGCAAGCATACTATTACATTATTATGTTTATGTGCACAGATGTATGTTGAAGAGAGGATGTGTGAGGGAAGAGTGTGTATGGGTGTGCACATGTGCGTGTGTGTGCATGTTTGTGTGTGTTTGTGAGGGTGAGTATGTGTGTGTGCGTGTGTATGTGTGTACATGGTGAAACACCAAACCAATGTCCAGGATCTGGTCAATAAAGATGTATCTTATCTTATCTTATAAAACCATAAAAGAGCTGAAGATTAGAGGTGTTACAAGAGAGTAACAAAAAAGAAGGAAGAGAGATAAGGATGATAGATGTTTGATTTTATAAGAAAGAAGGCGCTAACCACACCAGAGCACACGCCAGCCTACCACACATGTACATCTGATGCATGGAAGAGATAGTCGTATATATACGGGTAATGAATTGCATTTATATCATGTATTTTCTTGTTAACCCTATCCGTACGTCCTGTTTTACTATCGTACCCATACAACATGGGGAACCCTGTGCCTCCACTTTCAAAGAGGAAATTTACTCAGTAATCCGACCCATACGCTTTGCGTAGCAGTCTGTTAAAATGATTTTTTCAGAAATACTGAAAGTTTCAAAGAGGTCTTCATATTAGAAGTATTCTAAAATGTGGAGAATACAACCCCAGGGGTACAAAATGACCCCAGGGCGTACGGATAGGGTTAAAAAGTAGGCTCAATGCGCTTTATTATATTTTATAATTTCACCATTATATAGCAACCTGAAATACTTACCTCTACAGCTTCATGGGAAGCATATAGTGTGTGTTGTCTTTTTGTTCTCTAAGCTTTGGGGAGGGGGGGGAGGGGAGAGAAAACAGTTGAAAAAGACATATTTTAAAAATTCAGTTATTTGTGTGTACCTTTTTTCAAGGGTATTTGCAAGGTCTGGGAAAAAAGATATCAGACCTGTATGATTTAATGCATGTTGAACTTTATACTGTTCTCATTTTTATTTCTTGGACCAGAAACTGCATTGGACAGAACTTTGCCATGGACGAAATTAAAATCATTTTGGCTCGACTTTTGTCCAAGTAAGTTTTATTTCTGCTTATTAGCTCGGGCAGGTTTGACTGTAATTATTGATGTACCATAGTCCTGGTTGAGACTATGCATGTAGCTGAGTATACTTCAAAACAAGAGGATGCTCATTCAGGTGTACTAGCACCTATACACACTGTCTGACGTACACATACATGCACAAACATGAACACACGCTCACACACTCTGATGTAAGCCTACACTAACATGAACACACGCGCTCACTCTCTGATGTAGGCCTACACATACATACACAAACATAAACACATGCGCACACACTCTGATGTAGGCCTATACATACATACACAAACATAAACACATGCGCACACACTCTGATGTAGGCCTACACATACATGAACACACGCACACACTCTCTAATGAAGGCCTATACAAACATACACAAACATAAACACATGCGCACACACCCTGATGCAGGCCTACACTTACATGAACACATGCGCACACACTCTGATGTAGGCCTACACATACATACACAAATATGAACACACTCGCACACACTCTTATGTACACATACATGAACTAGTGCGCACACACTTTGATTTACACAAACATGAACACATGCACACACTCTGATGCAGGCCTACACATACATGCACAAACATAAACACATGCGCACACATTATGATGTACACATACATACACAAACATGAACATATGCACACACACTTTGATGTACACATACATATATACAATGCACACACATGCACAAGCACATGGGCACACACTCTCATATCTACATACACATACAAACGTGTACACATGGGCACACATTTTGATGTACAAATTTTTTCTTTTTCTTCAGAGTTAATTAAATCGAAAGTTCAGGGCACTTTTTACCTTATAATGATCATGTGGGCCATTTGGGGAGTCTATAACTTAAATGTCTTATGACATTTCATCATTTAGACCTAATTGTTTAGGCCTATGGGTGGTTCTCATGCCTTAGAACACTTTACAAAGTCTTATTGTGTATTTGTGGTCTTTTTTTCATTGTTTGAGATTCCTACAGTTCAATAGTTCATATCTGCCTAACATGTGTCATCCCGAAACAAGACCTTTTGGCACAAGCTCAAGACAAGGTACTGAACATTTGGATCCTGCAATAGCCTCTTCGTGTCTCGGCTTATCATTTGAGTTGTGTAGATGTGTTGATATTGACTTTGTATGCAAGGAATGGAAAATAAAATGCTTACAAGTCATTGTGGTGAAAATTTTTGTAAGGAAAGAGTAAGATCACATTTTCCTGTCTCTTCACCAGATTTTCGATCAAACTGGACCCAACTCATGTAGTGGAGAAGGATGAGAGCATTGTTATGAGGGCGAAGAATGATATCAAGATTTTCATCACTGCCAGAGATTGATGGAAATGACATTCCGCAATCCAGCAATATCTATGATGACACTGTTCAAAATGCGCATATTTACTTTCTACATTTATCTGTTTACATGATATCTTGCCTTCAATGTTTAACTGTAAGACAAAATGATTTTAACCAAAATAAGATTGTAGGATACCTTGTTGGTTCTGTAAGTATGTATTTAAGATATCTAAAAGCCAAAAAGATGTTTATGCATTATACTTTCATCGTTGTAGATGTTTACATGTGATCAACTGTGATATATGCTTTAAATACTCTGTGAATCTTTCCGAGTCATTTGTGTTTTACAACTGGGTGTGAAGTAAAGTCCAGTGAGAAGTTTTGCCATCGAAATGTTGATTATACCATTTTGAATATATATACATCAGAATTGATAAAATGTTAAGCCTATCATTTACTGATTTATATATTTTTTGTTAACCTGTGACCTCCCTTGAGAGTGTGCAAAATAAAAAAGACTTCATTCAGATAACAAGCCACATTTCCTAAGTAAAGCAAGTTTGTCAGCTTTCATGAAAGAGAAGTTTCTTTTTAAGTGATATTTCTTGTAATGGAATTTGTTCTCTCCTCAAATGATTGGGTTGACGAGCTGGAAATTCAGTGGCTTCCTTGTGCTTTAGGACTGTTTCTCAGAATGTTTGTGACTATATTATGGTGATATTTCTTGAACAACCAACATCATTATAATTCATATATATAGAACCAAATTGTTTTTATTGTTTTAAAGACCAAATTATGTATAGTCTTTTAAAAAAAATTTTAGTAGAGGGTTTTACGGCGCTCGCAACTGCATACTGTCATATGAGCGCCATATGTATAGTCTTTAGTTCAAAAATTGAATTATGCTTGAACTGAAAGATTTCAGTCCTATCTGCAATGTAACTATTTTTACCAAAGTGCTCTTTTTAGCTGTATTTGTGAGTCTTTTGATAGAACATGATACCTGATAGAACCATCAGTTTCTGAAAGGAAGGAAACTGATTTGTCATCAGGTGTTGATTGCCTGCTTGGTAGTGCACATGTAGTTGATGTAGATGTACTATGGTAGTGCTGGACTAGAGGCAAGGCGTTGGACTTCCAGTGAAAATTTAATGGTTCACTTCTCATTGTCACGGGCTTTGAAACTGCATTTTGAACAAAAGGACTTTTCTTCAGTCAGTTTTTCCAGCTAGATTCTACTCCTAGCTATTTTGAATGGTAGAGGAGGAGTATATGAATCGAATCCGTGTGTTTCTAACAGACTGCAGCACTGTTTTGTGTATTCAGTGAGATAAGAGAAGGGGGGGGGGCTAAAAAGTCTGTAAGGAGGGAAATTTGGCAATAATCCCTGTAGCAATGGGAATTTAAGAATACTTGTGAAGCACAATGGTCAGGTCATTCATCTCAGAAGGTAAAAGAAGGTAGGACTGGCCAAAGAATAGACTCCACATATTTTTAAAAGTCTTTCAGTGAACTTTAATTAAAGTGGGAGGAGCAAAGAAAGTTTCTACCTGAGATGTCGAGCATGTGTAAAGGTAAATGTTTTGTTTTTGTCATTTAGTTTACACCTTTCTAGAGAGATTTGTACATTTAACAAATTGATTTTATTTTTATTTTTTGCCTACTCAGACACCAAATATGTTTGCTATTGCTTTCTTTCTTAACAGTTTTAAAATACTCTTGTGTAAGAATTGCACACTTAAACAATTGTTACTGCTATCAGTCGAATAAGTTGACAAAACTATCTGATGCTCAGAGATAAATATTTTCATTATATACATCTGAATGGTATATTTGATTCAAATTGTCTTTTATACGTCATGTTACATACTCATATTATGTGTGTGTCTTTCACGGAGTTTGAATAAAATCTGCAACTTTAGAAAGTTCTTGGTGTTTGATACATAACTCTATGTGCTGATCCACACTGCTGGTTCCATTGTCTTTTCTGTGTAATGTCCACAATCTCTCATCAATGGGATATTTCGTTTCTTGCAAAACAGACACATTAAAAAAAAAAAAAACGTACATATTCTACTTGTTTTTCTGATGCCATCTTTCATGTACTTTATTCCTTATTCTTCTATCTTCATATGCACCAAGGAGATTGCTTAAACTTATATGGGGGGCTTTCGTGGCCTAGAGGTTAAGGTGTTCGCCTTCCATTCAATTGGTCCCAGGTACGAATACGAAAAAATGTTTTCTCTAAAATGTTCTCCTTTCTCCTTTCACCTCTTCTCCTGCTCTCTAGCAATGTTCTGTCGTCTGTTTTCGTCTCCATTTTCTGCCCCCACCCCCTCACCTCCAGGGCTCCTGACTCTTTCTGAAGCCTTTCGACTACTATTTCTTTGCTCATTCTTACTGTTGTCTTTCAGCCACACCCCTGATCTTATGGTAGGTAAAATCTACGCCTCTTCTCCGACAAGGTTCTAAAAAAAATTGAAGGTCCCGTGTGCGAGTTGCACATGTTAAAGATCCTTAAGTGGTACAAAATCGATAAAAGTATATCAAGAGTAGACTTCAGCCGCCATCCGGGCAAAATAAAAAAATTTGCTACAGACTGAAAATGTTTTGTGTGTCCCGTGCACTCATATGATCTTATCAGTTGCGAGCGCTGTAAAACAGCCCCTCCCCCCCCCTCCAGTAATGGTTAATATCTACTGTCATTTCTGTGTTAATTTCCACAATCTCTCATCATTATGATATAATATGTTTCTTTTCTTGCAAAACAGACACGTTTTATTATTTTTTTAATGCATGAAAGTATTCTACTTGTTTTTCTGATGCCACCTTTCTTGTACTTTATTTTTTATTCTTTTATCTTCTTCATTTGCCCCAATGAGATTTCTTAAACTTAAACCAAAATTCTATGAGGCTGCTGGATTTTCTTTGACTTACTTGGGTTTTCTGATTAGAGAGGTTGCTCAAATAGCAGAAAAAAATTCTATGATTCAATTATCTTTTTGTATACCGCTGTTTTCGGATTAACCATCTTCAATCATTATTCAACACAAAGCAAGTCCAGGGGTATTATGTCAGATTGCATTTGAAAAGTTTTTAACTTTCTGTCCTCCAATAAATGACTGCCTGACTGTGTTTGTGGACTTCTCACTTTCAAAACGCTGCGAGCGTGCGCATGGAAAGTAATTATATTACAATGGAGATATCTTCGACGGTAAAAATCTGCCTTCACTCATCTATCGGTAACAACAAGATATGCCTACCGTATAGATAAAAAATTTTTAGTCAGCTGTGCTTGAGTTGATCTTCAGTTAAGAGAAGGTGCTACAAAATTTTGGCTCTTTTTTAATTTGCCATATATGTGCAACATTTACTGTTATTACTGTCTTCAGTGCAATTGAGGGTAATAGAATAGATAGGGATTTGAATGGATAGGACCATCATTCCTTGGCAACCGAGGGGAATAATATTTGATGGTCGATTTTCTTTCACTCTATTTTTACATTGCGCTTCTTTCCCTCTATTTTTACGGATTACGTAAACTCTCAATTCATAAGATTTTAATTCCAGTATCAAAAATTTACTTTGATCAACTATTGAACAGACCACCTCCAGAAAACCAACCAGAAATTCTTCCAGCCGGAAATGATCTCCCAATAGTCACGGAACCACCTTCAAGAGAGGAAATTGCAGCCGCTATAAAAACACTGAAGTCCCTCAAGGCTCCTGGTCCCGACCCCTACCGGAAACCCTTAAGGCAGAGAAAGATACGTTAGTGGACATTCTCCATGCTCTATTTCAAAAGGTTTGGCAGAAGGAGGAAATACCATCAGACTGGAAGGAAGGCTACCTAATCAAGCTGCCAAAGAAAGGAGACCTCAGCAATTGTAACAAATACAGAGGTATTACACTCCTGTCCATACCTGGGAAAGTCTTCAACAGGATACTCCTGGAGAGAATCAAGCTGGCAACAGATGAGAAGCTTCGAGGAAACCAGGCAGGATTCCGCAAAAACCGATCATGTGTGGACCAGATCGCTACTCTGCATATCATTGTTGAGCAATCGCTTGAATGGAA